ACAGTCATGCTTAATGCAACTTAAGTATGCATAATAGACCTCTGGGAAATAATAAACCAATTACAAACTTAAAATAAACCACAATCATATGAGATTCCAAGAACCTATTAGCATTCAATCCATAAACTTTTTTTTTTCAGTTTCATCAGAGCTTCTTATTATGGGTTAGATGTTAATGTCAAGAACCATGTAGAGTTTACTGATTTATTCATCAGCATTTCATTTTTGTTTTACATAATTGTCTAGGACCCTTTGTTGTTATTTGTTTTATTGGTTTCTCTGATTTTTTTTCATAAAACAGATAACAATGACGTTTATGATAGGGCTGTTTGTCAGTATATTTTCAGTGAATACCTGCAAACTCTTACTTGTCCAGGATAACAAGTGTTTCTGCATTTCCTTGATGATCTAAAATAATTTCCGTTCTTTTGAATTATGTTCCAGGTTGCAAATCTTGCTTGTTCCATGTCGACAAATGAAGATGGAATTAAAATTGTCAGAATTGCAGCCAATCACCTAGAAACTTTGTGCCCGCAGGTATGATTACTAAGTCTCTTTCCTATAAAAATTAGATATAACTTTTCATATTTTTAGACATATTAAACTACATTAAATACTTATTTTAAACATGGAAGACAGAATTGTCCTAACATCATAGTTTATTTTTTACTAAGGAACTACTTCTTACAGCTCTTTTAGATTATTCTGAGACATTTGCTGTTAGTCTAAGTTAAATATCTTCCAGTAGTCTGAAAATGTGTTAGGAACCATTGAAAATAGACATATTAAATCCTGATAATTGAACAGTTCTATGAATTGGCCTATCTTGCTAAATTCCTATTATTTCTAGGGAAAGGCAACAGTATATATTACAAATCTTATAACGTTCTAAAACCAAAGGATGTTATCTAGTTAAAATCTCTTATAGTTGAACAAATGGAGACTAAATAGTATGCAAGCATTTATTATAAACCAGTAGTTGTTTTAGGGGGCAAAAGAGGATACTGACAAAACTTCAATAAAGGTATAGAAAACCTCTACTCAAGATTTTTACTATTTGAAATGATATAATCTACTTCTTCAGATAAGTTGGGTTTTTTTAGAGTACTTTATATTATTTTCTAGCTAGTAAGAAATGTTTCCTTGTCAGTAATTAAGGAGTTTCTTAAAATATGAAGAAAAAAATATTTTTAGGGAATTATTTCCACTAGCCTTGATGTCATGAATCAGAATGCACAAAGGGCAATCGTAAACACATTTGTCTTAAAAGAGACATAATAATATGGATACTTAATTCTTAATAGAGATCACAAATGTTGTAAGAATGTGAAATATAACAGTGATTAGGGATGTCAAATCTCCAGACATATGCTGAGATTCTCATTCTAATAAAAGTAGAGCATGTATTAAATTATTGATTTGTCTTTCTGACAATTTCATTTCTAAGGAGTATGGAGGTTAACAGTGAGAGAAACTGCTTCTTTGGACTTAATGTTGATTAAAAAGCAATAACTGGTCTGCAACTGAGATTCCCCAACTAATATGA